CATGAAGAATGTGAAGCATTAGTTTCCAGAGTGACTGAGCATTTTGCCAAGGCCGTAGCTAGGTTTTTTGTAATGGGAAAGGGGGAGGACAAGGGAGCGAGCGCCGGAAGCGCGAACTTCTAGGGAGGTCTGGAGACATATTTACCCCTAGAAAACTCTGGAATTTAGGGACTTGAAAATGTTGCTTTCGGCATTCTACGGGAGATCTTTCGTGCAAAAATTAATCTTGATCAAATATTAAATGACAGCAACAAAGACCCCGAAGTTTTGTGAACTTGACACACATATCTCTGCCTTACTACACTAAACATGTATCGCTAACTTGGCCCTGATTTTGAGGTCACTCTGGTCAGTAACACTTTCCAAAACAAGCTGTGATGCAAGTTACATATTTTGCATTGCATTTTCCGTACCTCATTAGCAGCCGATGTCTGATATACAGTGCCAGACTTGCGATATAACAGAAACCAGTGAGCCGCAAGAAGAAGAGGAGGAGGAAGAGGTTAGTTTGTGACGGCAATTTCTTCAACCAATTAATTATTCAATTTAGCTCGTGCAAAGCGACTTAACGAGCCAACCTGGGGTTGCACTTGAAAAGAGATCTGTATCTAGTAATACAGGGTGCATGTGACGTCTCCGACATTTCACTTCAGTATGCAACTTACTCGTTTCACTAAAACAACACGGACAAGCATAATGATTATAACCTGTACAACTTTATTTTAACATAATGTTTACAGCTCATCCTTTGGCGCCTTTTCTTCAGTTTTGTTTTTCTCCGTCTTCGCAAGCTCTAGAATTTTGGGGACAATTTCGTTCCAAAATGCAACTTTCTCGGCTTGGTACCTGCTCTCCACCCTCGGTTTCACATCGAGGACAAGATATTCCTGTTCTTGTTCTGTAAACTTCGGCCATGTGACTGGCAAAGGACCAGAGTCGGGTGGATTTGGAGATCTAAAAGAAAGAAATGTAAAAAACTGCATTCGTTAATGTAATGTAATGTAATGTAATGTAAATCTTATTTATGTATTTGAAAAGATACATTTTGGGTTTTACATATGGCAACACACCAGAAGTACTCTCACACCAGCTCCCGATGGAATGTTTGCCTACTGGAGTTTATAACCCACAAAATTTGCAAGTTCGAAACAATACCCATCAGAAAACTCGGGGAAAGGTGAAGGGTGGGGACTGAAATATTGCCAGACGTCATGGTCACATATTTCTTTAGCGAAAAGTGGCGATAGGTTCGCCCGCTGATCAATGGGTCTGAAGTCTGAAGCTCTAACACCGCGTTAATATCTACTTTCCCTTCATAAACACTAAGTATTGTCAATCACAACCTCCGGACACGTTCTTACCCGTATTTGGCAAAGTCCGTCCATAGTTTCATGATATAAAGACTCAGCCCCTTTTCTATCTCGGAGTACTTCGCAACCATCATGTTCAAGACTGGCTCAGGTATGTTGCTGAAAGGTGCACCAAGCACAAATCCGATCTCAATGCCATGCGCCACGCCAATCCAGTCAGGCATAGGTGAATAGACTGGTCTGTGGTCGAACACATAAACGTATGTTGCTTGTCCTCCCTATTTTAAATTCAAGGAGAAATGGAATAAACTATTTCGTTTGCCTTGTATTTCCCGCCTGCTGCCAATGGCGGTCTTCTCCTGCATCACAAAATTATGGATAACTTTGTTGTAATAGCACAACTATCTAGACACAGTTGAAGACAGCTTCGTGTCCTGAAAATGCCGGCCTATAGCAGGGTCAAGTAGTTAAGGAACTACTAAAAGCAGAAAGTTACTCCGCGATACAACCCTATGGAGACGGATATGGAATGAATTTCAACAGTTTTACTTTGTTACAATTAGCAAATTGACGCCAGCATCATTTTCAATCTGTGCTCTTCTAGCTTCTTGTTGATGGTAAATATGCTGTTGACGAACTAAGAGAGGCTGGAAGTCTCATAAGTCATGCAAGGGAAGTAAAAGATTACGAAGAGGCAGTGATGAGTTTTAAACATGCGATGCGACATGCAACATGCGATCTTCTGTGTTTTTGTTATCTTATTCTTACCTTTGCCAAAGCGTTGGCCTCGAGCAAGGTGGGTGCAACAAAATCTGAATGACTAACACTGTCCATCATCAACTGGCGAACAGCAATTTTGTCATTTGGATCTTCATGGTTTGTGTACTCGTGAAAAATCAATTCTTCGAGAATCTTGCTCTTCTCTCGACCATAAAGCAACTGCTTTTTTGTGAAAGATTCAAACATGAGTCGGTCCATTCCATCTTTGAGCTGGGTTATCATTGGCATTGCATACAAGGCACCTTCGTTGGAGTTGACACCAGTGATAACATCAATATTAGGGTGGAACTGACCTGCCTTGAACAGGGTTTCTGGCAGATCTGGTAAAAAGTGGCCATCAACTGTAGGCGCTAATAAATCTTGTGAAGGTTCGTCAACATTAGGATACGTCAAGTCGCTCTGTGCTGTCGTAATTTCCTCAGCAGTTTTGCCACGAAGACACTCGACATGATTTCGTCCCAAGGTACAGTTTGTAAGTTTGGTGAACAACTCTACCTGAGCTGTGTTAGTAACCTTTCCACAGAATAAAGGAGACGAGGCTGCACCGCTTTGTATTATGGCTCTGTGGAACAAACCTTTGGACAATGGCGATACTAGATGAAGAGAAACACCCACTCCTCCTGCGCTCTCACCAAATATAGTCACTCTGTTGGGATCGCCACCAAAACTTGCAATGTTGGCTTGAACCCACTTTAATGCCAGCACCTAGAATTATAAAGGCCAATCAAATAGATTCAACTACCCAAATGTTGTTAAAGAGAATAAATAACATCCAAAGTTACTGAGTCTATGTTCAGAATGCATTTCCGGGTAGTACAAGAGACGGAAATTTGTTAATGGGAAGTACCGGATTTTGCTCTCGAAATTGACTTTTCACGTGATTAAAACATTTAAGACAAGGGGTAAGTCTCTGTAGCTACCATATGCTAATGAGGCAAAATTTTGACCCCTATGGTCTAAGCTCTCGTAAGCGACCACCTCCCGTAAGCGCTTACGGGAGGTTCGACTGTATAGGGAATCAATAAGTGGACATAAATAAACAGCAGTTATACATTGATGTCATTGACAAACAATTTCTGACTTCGATTAGTTATCAATCACTCGTGATTTTTAGTTAGTGATAATCATTCGCCAGTCAGCTTATTACTCGTCAGTTGTCCATGTATTTGCTACTGACGTCATCAGGTTCAAGTAAATTGTGTACATTTTCTACATTGCAATCAAATTTTGTACCTGATCCATCATGCCAAAATTTCCTTTGTAATCAGTGCCAGGGATGTTAAAAAAGCCAAGTACTCCCAGGCGATAGTTGACTGTCACAATGATGACGTCATTGAAGGTGGCCATGACTCCCCCGGGGAAATTTGTGGAAGAGCTTATGATGAATCCCCCTCCATGAATCCACACCATGACCGCTAGTTTGACATCGGGCTTTATTGCTGACGGGACAAATACGTTGAGGAAAAGGCAGTCCTCTCTGAGCTTCACTAAATAAGGAAGGTCAGTTTATTATTATTTTTTTACAACAGCGTAGATTCTCTCTACCAGGTTGTTCACGGTAGACAACGGAGCAAAACTAGCTTTTTTCAGCACTTTGCTGCCCCTTTCAAAGATACTGAACAAAAGGGTAGGAACAAAGTTTGGGAATATTTTAAATAGGTATAGTCTGTTGTCCTAAGCGCGAAATTGTTCGGCGATGATGTCATTCTTAGTAACAGGTTGATTGGCGGTATCCCGGGACCCTCATGATGACAAAGGCATGAATAATGCGACTTTGCTCCATACATAGGAAACGAGACGAAGCTAATGCATTAAGTCTACATGACTGGCCTTATATTTTATTAACTATAGACATTATACGATGCTTTGAGCTTTCGTGACATCTTGAAAATTCTACACTTTCGCTTGGTTCCTATAAGCCATGATTACATGTATGACATGTATCTAGGAGATGATCATTGAAAAAACGGTACTGATCCTGGTTGTGGAAAAAAACGACGAACGAAAGAAAATTAAAAAGGAAAATATAAACTAATGCAGCAAAGACTTTGCATCTTTCATGTTCCAGCATGCTTCTGACACACACAGTTATAAATAAAACGTTATTACCTGTCTGGTACACGTCACCTCCACGAGCCCAAAAAAGATATTGCAATTTAGATATAAAAGAGTACGAGCGATACCTACATTCCAAACAAGAGGGAATTTTTATTAAACACTTTGACGACAACAACTTTAGTTCGATCAGGCTGTGTTCACTTTAGTGTTGATGAGGCGATTATTACACAACCGGTCTGAGTTAATCCACTGATTTTGCATAAATTTGCATTTCTTGTGTCACCTCGACGGATATCGATAAGCAGAAATTAGCTTAAAGAGGGTTAACTTACGGTTAAAACAAGTGACACTGGGCTATGAACGCTTAGACTTGAGTCTGCGTGACAGTGGTGTTAACATTGGACCATTAGAAAAGACGACTGCCGAGGACTGACATATTGCGCCCTCCAGCTGTCACCTTGTCACGCACCACTTTCAACTCGTCGCCGGCTGCAGGTAGACGACAATATTTCGTGCAAACGTCATCCTCACGGCGGCGATTTTTTTTTTACATAATTCTTTGGTGTAATTCTTTTCACAAGCTAGTCTAGGAAGACTCGAAACTCGACCTCGAACTCGTCGCTGGATATTGATGACGACAAATATAATAATCGTGTGGTACGAATGGCAAAGTTCATCAGGCTCGCATTTCTTCTTCTATGGCTTCCAAATGCAGGCATTGCCGCAGATTTTTCTACCCGGGGGTCATCACACATCCATATACACGTACACACACAAACACACATATACATTACCTGTAGGTGCACCAGGAATAGGCAATCGGCTCTGCATACACGAGGCTCCGTACTCTGTGGTTTGTTTTGTTCCTGACCAAGGTTTAACCGGCTTTGGGTCTGCAAACCTTAAGTCTCCGACCGGAGGTTCAGCATATGGGATACCAAGATACTGGTGTGCTGTTTTGCCGTGTGGAAGAGTCTCAACCGTGCCAACAATTGCCCCGGACTCGGTCTGAACAACGGGGGAAAGTTTGTCCTCATTGACTTCAGCTAGGGTTGTCTTCGATACCAAAAGGACGGCACACGTCACGGTCAAGAAATAAGTACGAAATTTAACTACCTGCATATCGAAGAGTGTTTATCCGTTGTTCAGTGCTGCTGTGTATTTTTTTCTTCGACCCTTTTCTCACCTCAGTGACCGTGCATTGCCAATATTTTCAAGTAAGGTGTATCATGGATGTCACGCCATCTGCCTCACCCAATGACGTCAAAGATTTAGACGCATAAGGCCAAGCAAAAATCAATGACTATTTTAATTAGCGTTAATTTTGAGGTCTTTGCAAACATTGTTCTCTTCACAATAACCTGACCCCAATTTAAAAGGACACGATGGCAGTGGAACTGATATAATGCATCAGTCAATTCCACCAGTACCTGTCTCCCCTCGCCCCCGGACAAATTTTGTCACTGCCTGGAGGAGGACATTTGCCAATCCAGGACGGTACTGTTCATTGCAGTGCATTGCAGTGGCAGTGATCGATCTGTGCTTCATAATATCCACTTATCATATTTGTCAGTCGAATACTGTGGTAATAGTTCAAATGGGATAAGTCAATAAAGAGAGGGATCTGGATAGAGTGCATTCGTCTGTAGCGCCGGTGTAACACAACTGCAACATTTCACTTGCGCAAGGACACATGGCAAAAACCT